TGAATATGAGTTTGAAAGTCTTTTGAGTTCGATGTTGAATATGGGTTTGAGTTACTCTTGTGTTTTATGCTTAAAAAAAAAAAACTTCAATGGTAAAAATCTTCTATTAATTATACTCCCTCCAAATTTAAAATAACACTATAGAAAAATCCTATGAATTTAGTGTTTATAAAAAAAATTCTATTGATTATGATCTCCCCAAAGAACACTATGCAATACTTCCTACTTCCTTTCAATGAAATCGTTTAAAAGTAATCCTATCAATCGAATCAGTATGATTATTACGATAAAAACTCTATTAATAACCTTCCTTAACAAAGGCCTATGCACAAGACAAAGGCCTATGCATAAGAAGAAGTCGAAATTTTTGTGCAGTAAAAAGGTTAGTGTTCAATAATCACATCCCTTTAGGAATTCAATCAAGTCTCATTTTTTACTGCATTTACTTTGACTATATTGACCATATGCTTCGTGTGAACATTTCATTGTAACTGGAATTTCATCAAAATGGTGAACACTTCTTCGAGATTAGAGTTTCATCAAAACCAAACTTACAAACTTACATGCAGGCAATCCAGATCCATTTGATTGAATTGAGTTTTTGTATGAATAGAATGCCCATCATCATCTCTCTCTCAAACTATTCAAAAAACTATGTTTGTGATATTTGTATGACTTCAAATTTTGTACACACACTCTCTTCATCTCAATAGTCAATCCACCCAAAAAAAAAATTCAATTTGAACCCTAGATATAGTCAAAATAAATCCCCTCCAAAAATGAATCTTGACATCCATCACTTCAAGTGCCATCCTAACTACTCAAAAAATAATCGAATATTGTTTCCAATTAGTGAACTAGGGATATTTTGGGAGAAAATAAAAGACTGGTCTCCGATTAATTTTAAAAAAATAATATATTGTTTAATTAAGTGTATTTCCATAATTTATTGATATTTACATCTTATTTTTGGGTAAATAATATTTATATCTACTTGTGAATCATTTGATTGCATTTCCATAATTTATTTATACTTTTGAACCATTTGATTGTATCTTCCTAATTTATTGACATTTATATATAGTTTTGCCGCATAGTTCATCTTGAAAGTACTGAATTTTGAAAGCCCAATAAGCAAATCTACCCAGCAGTACTTAAATATGAAAAACAATATCCCTAAAGTCAAAAAATAAAAAACAAAAATAAAAAAATAGAAGGTTTTCTCAATACCATTCAAATTTGAACAAAACCACAATTAAACCACAATTCAAACATCTCTTTAGCCAATCCATGTTAAGTGGAAAACTTCCTTGATGATCCTCGATTTAGTGATAGGGCATTGATGATGCTACATAAAATGAAGTAAAAGAAGTTAAAAAGATTTAGTGATAGGGCATTGATGTGCATGTTTTTTGACCATCCAGATGTTCACAAACCTGCCAAATCTACATAGCTTCAAATTTCATTGTAAAAGGCGGAAATAAATTTCGAAGCCATCACAGGAGACAGAAAACAATGAGCTTATCTCATTGTAAAAGGCCGAAATAAATGTGGAAGCGAAGAGACGGAAAACAACATTACTTAACAAAGCTTCAGAGTGTAGCTCTACCAAATATCAGAAAGCCACAACCCTGCGAAAAATCACACCAAAAAAACAAATGGCCCCAAAAAAATGCAAAATTTATATCTATGATTTCTTTAAACTGTAGGCTTTCAATGCTTTATGCTCTAATGTAAGCTGTTCCATCCATTTTAGAATGCAATCTATTGATAAGAAAACCAATTTTGAAAAGTGAAAATTAAGATCAAGTTCAATAGAAGATCTTCAAATTGATGCCATGATACTTAAATGATCCCATTATATTCTCTTAAGCTATAATTAAAGGGCCTCTCTCACGTAAAACACGACCTACAACTAACCCAAAATTTTGGGGATGTAACCTCTTCAACCCATAAATTAACCCCAATATAAAAAATTCTTAATTGTATCCTCCGTGAACTTAAAAAATAATAATGTCCCACGATTGAATAGCAACCATCCAATTTTTAGATGGTGAGATCTAAGCATTTAAAAACACAAATTTCAATTATTATTATTTTTTGGAGAATAATCATCTAATAGTATTCTTAAGTGGTTTCCAAAATTCCATATTGAAAAAATCCTCCCAAGTAGGTCTTCTGACCGAGGGAGTAGAAGTAAACTATGCATCCGAGGGAACATAGTTTACTAGCTCATCTTATACATAGTTTACTAACTCATCTTATTTACAGCTATAAAACATAACCATTGTTAAATGTTATAAAAAACACTTTAATTTACAAATCTAAACCTGACTCGTACCTTGGATCAGGTCCCTCGGTGTCATTAAATAAAAAGATTGAGAGGAGAGAGATCCTTGAGGCCTTATGTGAACGTATCTTAAAAGAAGGGTTACTAAAAGATAAACCCTTTGTAGAGATCTCACGATTGTATTTATCTGTGATGTGATAATGGTGAAGGCCGAGACGATGATTTAAAGGTTTTCCGATGCCAACACTACATTTTTCGATAAGTTTTGAGGTGGGGCTTCACTTATTTTGAGAGGCCCTTTTTAATAAATA